GATTCCCAGTCAGGGCACACGCCCGGGTTGTGGGCTCCATCCCCAGTCGGAAGTATGTGGGAGGCAGCCGATCAATGACCCTCTCATCATTGATGTTCCTATCTCTCTCTCTCCCTTTCCTTTCCTCTCTCTGAAATCAATAAAGATATATTTAAAAAAAAAAAAAAAGAGCATGCAGGCTGAGAATTTGTATTTAGGCAACTAAGATTAAAAAATGTATTCAAACCCCGAATTGGGGTGGGGGGGGCCATTCATCATGTTGAAAAGGTCAGAGTTATAAAAAAAGAAACAACAGAGAGAGGGATATTATTCTGCATTACAGGAGGTGTAAAAGATATAACTAAATGCACTGCATGGTCTTTTGTTTGATCTTAGTTCAGGACGAAAATCAGCAATATACATTTTGGGGATAGTTTGAGAAATTTGAATATGGACTAGTTATTTGACTGAGCAGTAATGTCATGCTCAGTTATGATCACAGTATTTAGTATTTTGATGATGTAGGAGAATATCTTTACCGTTTGGGAGTCTTCCATATTTAGGAGTAAAGTGTCAGGGTGTCTAATTTTCTTGAAATGGCTTATCAAATATATATATGAAATATGACAAAATATTATCCCTTATTGGGTTTATATGGCTAACTTTGGAGTGTTCTTGGCACTATTTTTCTCCTTTTCTGGATGATTGTGAATGATGATACTAATGAAGAAGGCACCTCAGGGAGAAAAGTATTGTGGGACACAGTAGGTTTTCTAGAGCCTGCCTTGTGGTTTGGGAAAAGCACCATGTGGTCCTGGGTGGAGTCGATTGTGAAGTGGTGCTTACCTGCCAGGCCACTTGGAGGCATTTTCCCAGGCTACTGTGAATGGTCTCATGATAACCATGGAGAGGGCTTTCCACCATACCACAAACTCCCCTTGGTAGCCTTGGGGAAGCTCAGATCGCCTTGGCCATGATCCCCTGGAAAACAAGTTAGGCTGGGTAGTTTTACAGCAAAATCTCCATGTTGGATATTTGCTCTCAGTATCTTGGGACTATGAAATATAACAACCCCCAAAATGACCACTCCCTGAAAATGTATTACTCATTGGAGCACAGTATGACTTAAAACTAATCTACTGCCTTGCTAAGCCAGGGTGGAATTTGTTCAACTCATATTTGATTTTTTTGATTTTTTTTTTTTGCTATTGTTGTTTTTATCTTTCTAGTCATAAAGGCTCTGAGTTTCTAGTAAAGCCACTTAGGAGCAGTGTATTTAAGAATGTGAAATAAAATATAGGCAGAACTCTGACTTGTCCCTTTCTTTCTCTCATGAATATCACTGACTCCCCCTCCCATCTGTTTGTCTTGGAGATTAATGTTCTTTGGTGAATAGCCAGGTGAGCCAGAGGAGAGTTAGTGTGGTAACAGGTCATTTCGAGCTTCATTGTAGATTGGGAGATTGTCTGTAGAAAGGTAGAGAGAAGCAGCTGTTTACAAATTATGGAATGCAGGAGGCATAGGGACCTGAGACTTTTGGGGTTGCTGAGAGGCCAGGGAAGAGAATGGACTCTTGCTTGTACTGGACATCTTGTGACACTAGCATTGCAGAATATAAATTATTTCTAGAAATATGCAAACCTGAAGACTCCTGGTAGAAGGATGCTTCCACCACAAAGCTGTCCTCCCTCTAACCCCAATCTCTTCTTCCGTCTAAAGACAGTCATTTCAGATTTAAGAGGACCACAATAACTGGCAAGAACACAGGTGTACTTAAGTGTGATTTACAAGTGCCTCAAAATCTTGGAATACTGTTATCAAGTAGTTTTCAAATGAAAAGGTTATCATTTTATGATTTTCATTTTGCTCCCTCACCCCCAAACACCACCAGCCCCACAATCTCCTACTAACACGAGATGTGCATTTAGAACACCAGTGTAGCAAGCTGGGAGCTGGTGCCCCAGAAGGGAAAGCAAAGGGCCTCCTGGATTCTTTGCCAAGTTGCTACTTAGCTTTAGAGAATAGTGGAGCTTTGCTTTAGCCCTGGGTAAGTACAAAATCTCAGTGGCCTACTGAACTCTGTGATGTTGCTGTCATTAAAGAGCAAAGAAAAGTTTATGGTCTCTATCACTGCCTGTTATCTATGGATAAAGGAAATACATCTCCCTAAGGATTTCATCTCAGTTCATTTCATCAGCAGTGTTTTTTTTTTTATATCAAAATTCATTTGCCATAGAAGAACTGGCACAAGAACACTGCTTTAATCTCCCTTCGAGTTTCTCTTTAAACAGTAAACTTTCCTACAGCCAGTGGGATTCAGAAAAAGCAGGTGCAAATTGTTTTTACATATTAAACTTGCGATTTCTCTTGTTGGTACTCCTAGGCAGGGTTTTCCATCTAACCCCAAGCAAGAGGCTGTTTTAGAAGTGATGCCTTTTAACATAACCCTATCCTGAGTGTGGGGAGTGTAGGGGGAAAGGTTCTCATAAATTCAGTTCTGCTAGTAATTCCTATAATAAATCATTTAGTTAGAATGTGCCTTATACTGCTTTATTGTTCTATAGGGGAAGGTGTCATATTGAAACTTTATTGTTCAGCTGACCAAGTAGGATTTAGTTATCACTGAAGTGGTATCTCCAGATACCAAGCTTCCTGAACTCAGAGCTGTAACTTTCATAGTCACCTTTAGATTTAGCCTCTTCCTAATAATAATATTTATTGCTCGAGAGTTTGCACAGGGAAGATTTTTGAAATTTAAGTATGACCTGCCAGCAAAGGCAGAATGACTTACATATTACTTTTGTTGTTGTTATTGTTCAGTCCTTTGGAAGATTTACATGACAGATCATTATTATTTTTTTAATTATTATTTTTAATCCTTACCCGAGGACATGTTCATTGATTTTTAGAGAGAGGGGAAGGAAGGGGGAGAGAGAGAGAGAAACATTGACCAGCCACCTCCCTTATGCACCCTGACTGGAGATCAAACCTGTAATCTAGGTATGTGCCCTGACTGGAAATCAAACCCAAAACCTTCTAGTGTATGGGACGGCGCTCCAACCAACTGAGCTACCTGGCCAGGACTAGATCATTATGTTTTAAATCACTTAAAAAATTTCTGTGTGTGTTTGTGAATCCCAAATTATAAAGGACTTCTCTCCTACAATTTCCCTCCCCCCAGCAGGACAAATAAACAGAAGTGGTAGTCACTTCTACTCTCTCAGTGACCTGAGGAATGAAGTGTTTGTTTAGAAGCACTCAGAATAATGCCAACGGTGTGCATATTTTGACAAAATGCAATCCATTTCAACTGTGTTAGGAAAAAATTCGTCTCGGTTAATCTGGAGATTATCATGTCATAGGTGTCAGTCTTATTTCGCAATCTCTCTGACTAAAGCAGTTGTGCTGTCAGATCCATACTTATGTAGACGGAACAAGGCTGTGGTCACTGGTGTTCTGGATCTTTCTACAGGAGTGCTGGAAGGATACCGAATGTAAAAGTGGAAACTTCTTTGTATTCTTTATTATACACAAGTTATTTCAAAACATTCGTAGTCATGGACTTTGGAGAATCTGATGGTCCTGGAGACCACCTCTTGCAACTCCTGGCTTCTCCAATTTTGTGGATAAAATACTGTCTCTGAGGTTGTTTTAGAACTTGGGGACCCTCACCCCACTTTGACAGGCCCTTCACTTCTGGTGCTTCCACCACGTACTCAGCCACGTTAATGGGAACATTTTTATTTAATCTTTTCAGGAAAGTCATCAAACAGAGTAGTTTTAACTGGAGGGGGGCTGGCAGGGAATGACGGGATAGAGGGAGGGAAGGAGGAAGGAAGGAACTCTGCTTGTGCTTTCTGTGCATCACCTGAAATTCTGTTGCTACCCTATAAGATAAATGGTAATATCTCAGTTTTTTGTAGATGGAATGTACTCCTTTGGACCAGGCTTCTTTCACTTAACATTATGTGTGTGAGATTTATTTCTGATATGGCTTATATTTGTAGCTCATTCAGTTTTAGGTACAGTGTAATATTTCACTGTGTGACTATCCTTCGCTTTTAAATAAAAATACTTATACTGATGGATATTTGCATTGGTTCCAGATTGAGACTCTTATGAAAAGTGTTATTATGACCACCTGTATATTCATGCTTCGGTTCTGATTAAGGTATTCAAACAGATTTTGAAAGTGGCTGTACCAGTTTGTACTCTGTCAGCAGGGTATAAGAATTCTAGCTTGACTGTATTCTTTTTTTTTAAATATATCTTTATTGATTTCAGAGAGAGGAAAGGAGAGGGAGAGAGAGAGATAGAAACATCAGTGATGAGAGAGCCATTGATCGAGCCTGCAACCTGGGCATATGTGCCCTGACCAGGAATCGAACCCCGATCGCCTGGATCCTAGGTCGACGCTCAACCGCTGAGCCACGCCTGGCCGGGCTAGTTTGAGTGTATTCTTGCCAATACTTGATGCTCTTGATCTTTTTCATATAGGTCATTCTGATGAATTGAAGAAGTTTCTCTTCTTTATGGCTCATATTTTTTCATCTCATTCTATATAAAGTCTTTATTGTACTTGATTTAGAATAACTTACTTATAGGCAAATACACACATTTTCAAATATGTTTTATATGATTCTTTTTGTGAGCTCATAAGTAATGAGTATCAGAACGTGGCCAAGATCTATACACTAGCTCAGCCTGAATTAATTACCCCATGTGAAGGGCCTGGTTTTTAGGTCTCTTTGTCAGACCTCCTTATTTATTCCATTTTACAGATAAAGGGACTGAGCCACTTCAGGGACTAGGAACCATCCCAGGTGCTATAGTCAGGCCTACTAGAAAGAGCCAAGATTGGAATGTTCATCCCTTCCTCTCAAGTGAGGCCCCTTTTTGATTCTTATACTCTTTCATTTGCTGCTATTGAATGCATACTGGATGGCAGGCACTGGGCTTGGTCCATGGGCTTCAGTGGAAAACAAGCTTATAACCTAATGGTGTCCTCTTTCATTTTATAGGTTATGGCTTTCAAATCACAGCCTATTTCCTCAAGAGAGGAATACGCCTTCGCTGTTTCGGAGGTTCACAGAGTCCTGGTAAGAAACTGATTTCTCAGATTATCAGACATTTTGCACAATTAGCTTGCCCTAGAGAGGGAAGAAAATTAAGGAATGAAGATTTCTATCTGCTTTGTTGGCTTTATGAAATTGAAGTACTACTAAGTAAGAGTATTTCCAAAACTTGTGATTATTTCTTTTTCAATTTTTGCTGTTTATTGCCTGCCCGAGAACAGTAAGCTGGGTCACACTGGGCTGTGCTTTCCTGCTGCATCTCCACACTTTCATTGAGCTTCCAGAGTGACTCACAGGCAGTTAAACCATGAGTCACTTCATCATTGTCTGTGCACCCGAGGCCCTGGGACATGGAGCAGGTGTGTGCACGAGAAAGTGCTCTCCCAGCCTTTCGTAGGTGTGTGGCCAGGCCAGCTTCCCCCCTCATTTCCCCAAGTCAAGATGTCCACTGAGGAAATGATGTCAAACATGTCCAGCCAACAACAATAAAGTCAGGTGCTAACAGCCATTCTCCACGTTGATCTGAACATTGGAAAGAAAATCTAGTTCAACTTCTATGGATGATTTTAGTATGTAAGCTATGAAACAGGGACTTTAAAAACTGTATGGAGGTTTGCTCTTGGAATCTTAACAATTATCTGCAATTTCTCAACTTTAAGTGTCACTTGACTATACTACTCTCTTAACAGGGCCTTTCTCTTCACTCAGTTCTAGTAAAACAAGCCAGTTAACCTGCATCTGCTAAAATGCAGCCTACCTACCCTTCGTGGTGGGGATGGCTGTTGTTTAAGTCTTTACTTTATTAAATATTAAAGTAATGCAGATCTCAAGTATGACCTAATTAGAGTAGAGGGACACAGGAATTGCTTTCTGTTTGCACAACACCCGGCACCAAAATGTTCAGAATCTGCATTCTATCGTGCTTATTTTTCAGAGGAGGCAGGGAAGAAAAAAACAGAGGAATTATTTGATAGAATGATTAGCTTTGAGTTCTGGTTCTGATCCACTAACAATTTATAGAATTGATCATTTTGAATTTTAATTCTGATCCACCAAGTTGTATTCCAGTGTTATGATATTGGGGGGAGGGGTGGCAAATAATGCATTCTGTGACTCAGTTTCCCCTTCTATAAAGTGGAAAGCAGACTACTTACCACATATCTCGGTAAGATATTTTAGGAATTAATGAATACTAACTGCTTTGATAATATTGGTTTTCTGGCTTTTCAAAGTCCATTCCTGGTCACCTGGCCACATATGACATCCATGAGGAGTCAAAGTTTAAACATGCCCAGGATCTCTGAAATGGGGATTTCTATATAACGAAGACCAGAACTGCAGGTTAGGTCCCAGTCATGGAGGACTTTGACTATTTGCACAGTATATGGTGGTCACTAAGGGACCATGATAGGGATTTGAGCATGATAAGTGGAGTTGCTTTTTAGAACTGTTAACCTGCTTGCGCTTATTAGGAAATTAGATTGGAATAAGAAAGAGTAGCCACCTGGGAGACAGCAGTGTCCAGGTGAGGGGTAAGGAGAGAGCTGTTATTGGAACATTAACTCATTAGGCTCTTACTATAATTTAACCTAGCCAAGTGGTGTAAGGTCGTTAACTGTGTTTAAGTTCTGTGTTTGCATAATTGGCACCTCCGTGCTTGGCTTCCAAGTGCATCAGATGGAGATATACTGTTACTTTAGTAGTGCCTTCACATTGTCATTTGCTGTCGGAAATGTGCAATGTACATAAAACGCTTCACTTACCTGATTCATATTTGTCTTTTAAAAGAATTGGTCACATCTAAGAGGGAAGTTTTCTCTTAGAAAAATGGCTTTATTTCTGTCATAAATGTGATACATGTGCATTATAAAAATATTCAAGCAATCCAGCCAAGTACAGAGGAAGAGAAGACCCTCCCCAACCACCCAGAAAATGCAGTTAGCATCAGCTAAACATCACTTCAGACATCGCTCCAGAGATAGGTGGAGGCTGGGTGGGTGTGTGGATGGATGGATAAACTGATGGACAGACAACAAGAGATACAGATAGCATTTATCATGTTGTATTCCTTTCATCGAATGTTGAGAAGTTAGTTCTCTGATTCATACAGCCTTCCCTACCTGGAAGTCTTTTGCTTTAAAAACTTGTAATAACTAGATTACCTTGACTGGTGTAGTTGTATCATCTTTACTGTTGCATATTTAACCACTTCCTTAATAGTGTGATCATTAATTCTTAATTAATGGAACTGCTGTTTTCAAAGCCTGATTCAGATTGATAGTTTGCCTTCCATTTAGGGGCCTCTCTAAGACCAGTTGACCAAGGATATGATAGGTAAACTAATAAGAATGTTCACAAGTCACATTTTCAAATTGTATCTAATATTTTTCCTCTTCCTATGTAAGTGTGCACACACATTAGAAATGTTGATCTTGTTTCCCAAATGTGAGTTCCAAACAGAACACAGCAGACTGACACAGAGGGGGAGCTTCAGAGGCCCTGCCTGGGTGTTTCATGCGAGGTAATGGGTCCCGGGGCTCAGGTGGACCAATTTGCAGCCTCCTCTGCATTCCCTAGAGCTTTGTGCTTGCCCTGCCCTATTGATGGCAAACACTGAAAGGTGGGGAGGAGACACATGTGTCTTATATGTACATGCTTATTGCTGTAATTTAAAGATCTGGGACCATGCATTTCTGTGTTCATAGATTTTTGATGCCTTTAGTAATTTGATTTTCATTTTATACAGAACTTCGCGTATTCCCTGACAGATTTGTAGTCTGTGTAAGTCAGCTTGCACTCACTTGTGATCTTTCAAGGCAGGATGAATTGGTATGTATGAAAAAATTCTATAAACAAATCTGCTTAAATAGTGAATTATTGTTTAAAAAATCTTAAAGAATTTTGTCTTGTAGTCATTTAACTATTGATTACTTAATGTATGTCTTAAGGGACCAAAAATATCCTACCTGTTTTACATGATACTATTAAGAACACTTGAAAATTTAGTTTGATCAACCGTATTTCCATATCAATTTTAATGAGAAAGCAACATTCTATAAGAACTGTGATGGTGCTTATGACAGTATTTAAATGAAATAAAGCAAAGTCTTTAAATGAAATGAAGCAAAATCCACATGTTTCCATTGGAAGCTCTCATTGGGGTCAGTGGCTTTTGAATTTTATTCCATGGTGAATCACTGACATTTTCATGAGAACCAGTACTTTTCCCCAGTGTGTTATTTCTTAACTGATAGGGTTCATTTTCTTTCTCTGTTTTCTCATGCTAAGTCTTAAGCTCCATCACATCCTGTTGCTCTTTCATTGGAATTCTCTATTCAGACAAATAGATACAGAAAACTCATGCAATGTTGCAGCTTGTAGCTTTATCATTTTTTTTTAATATATCTTTATTTTTATTATTTTTTTTTTTGGTGTGTATTTTTGCAGCTTTATCTTTTAAGCTTAACATATACTCTGGAGAGAGCCTCCTTGTGTGAATGTATGTGTTACCTTGCTGCTGTCACAGTCCAGTCTATCTAAACTTACCTCTGTACAAACATTTTTCATATTTTTGGACATATATCGTAAAACTTTAACAAACGGGAAAATCTATCAGACATTAAACCTGGACATGAAGTCTGACATGATTATGCTTCTAAGATAATTTATGGAAATATTAACTTACGCCTTATGTTTATTTTTAATCCATTTGAAATTTGGCCCACACGGTCTAAAACCAACTTCTTATCTCATCTTAAATAAATACATAGAGAGAGTGTTTTAGAGGCAATAAGGGTGAATGGAGACCTAGAAAAAGTAAAGAGCATATTTACTTACATTTAAATTTAGGTGCCTTCATTTGGAGCAAATAAGCCCATCAGAAGAGCCAATATGACCCTTATTTCTTTGTATATTAATAAAACACTAAGTATACACATTAAATTAAATAAATGAAGCAGATTTTGTGAAAAGTATTAAAATTTATTCTTTGAAATAATTTTCAACTTTTGAGTTGCCTTAGTAAATTAATAAATGCTAAAGTACTGATGCTGTTGGCAAACAAGTATAATATAATATAGCTTAACTGATGCAAAGCAATGAAAAACTTGATCTGTGGTTTAAGAAAACAATTAACTGTACCAGAAAGTATTGCTTTCAGATGGAATACAGAAGAAATTAGATCTTGTATGATATGTAACATTGATACTTAAGTTATTAAGAGTAAATTAAAACAAAGAAATACTACCTTCCTTAGGGGCACTGGTATTTATACAGATGTAAGTTTTCTATAGCTGCTATCATATAGGTCCTGTAATCTTAAGGACAACCTACATATTAAGAATTTACATTCTTAGAACTTGACTAGTCTGAGCCAGTTCAATTTTATCTTCAGAATGTTCTGACATCTGGTGATACTACTATCAGAGTTCACCGAGTTAGCTTATAAGAAAAATGCCATTTATATCATGAGGATCTTTCACTGTTTTGAGTAATTCTCTTTAGATGTAGTCAGGCTCTGTCTTTTCACCTGCCCTTTTTTCCCCTCTCTGATCGTTCCTTCACACGCTTTTCCATCCACACACACACAAGAGTCACCTAAAGCCTGACGCTGCTGAACAGCTCCCTCCCTGGACACAGGCTCTGTGCTCCCCTCTGTTTCGCCTGCTTACCTGTACTTTGTCCCTCCTCACAGGCCTCCAGTCTACCACTTCCTCAAGCTTGTCCCTACAGACAATAAATGTTCAGGCCAAGCAGAGGGCCCTCTGTCCCACAAATGGCCCATCACACCAACCACAAAGCAGTCCCTCCACCACAATTGTCTTGGAGCTTTATCTTCATTGATGTTTGACCTCTGCAGAGCCCTCCTGTCTCAGCTGTTTAAGGATCAATAAACAGTCCTGCCCTCCCAGAATTGCCCTCTGCGGAGAGGTGGCCTTCTGACTCCCTTGTGTGGTTCAGATGCCCGAAGCCAGCGGCGGACTCTCTCGGGGTACCCCTTGCACTTCCTCATTCCTTAGGGCCTGAAGCCACTTATCAGTTTACATTGGTGGGGCCCACCTCATGTTCTCGTGCTCGCTATTCTCAAGGAGCATCTGACCGGGCAAGGCCTGGACGACTGCCTTCCCGAGGAGCTGTGCTGGAGGTACTTCTTCACAAGCTTCAGTTCCTTTCCCGTAGCTGCTCCTGAACTCTCCTCCCGGCCACAGAAGTGACACAGGAGTGAGCCAGTACCTGAGCAGCAGCCTGGGTACCTGACTTGTGCAATAGACTTGAGTAGCAGATTCCCTTTCCTTGCCTTTTCTTTTATCCTTTTGGGGTCCTCAGTGTCTAAGTGACAATCGGTGAGCAAATCTAGGAGAGCCTATTCGGAACTGCTCTGCGCGGATTCTTTCAGCCTGCACACAGGGAAGCCAGCTGCACTCAGCTCCTCCTTCTTAAAACAGTGGCTGCACAAAAGAACCGCTGTTCCAGATCGAACAGTACAAAGGGAGTGATCCCCCTCTTTGGGGAGGGGTGCAGAACGAGCATAGCCCTGTCGCCCCTTGACCCCCGCAGCTCCAGGGAGGTCTGTCACCCACCGTCCACGGAGGGACGTTGGTGCAGGGAGCTGCTTCATGTTGCAAGAGCTCTGCACTGAGTGCCCATGTGCCCGGGATGTGGGAATTGTGATGTGTACTTTGGGAAGAAAGGGCATTATTATGAGATGAGTCATTGTATTTTTCTTACTACAGTTTCTCATAAGAAATCTTGAAGCTCTTGGAGGCTCCATTTTTGACCTTTTGCTAGAAATGTAGCTGGGGAGTCATTTGGGGAGTTTTTACCTTTAGTTTTTTCCCCTCTCCTTTTTTTCCTTAGAAATATGAAGAGTATAAAATGTTTATTGCACTTAGCTATATTTTATTCCAACAATATAATGTTCTCTTTCATATTTACAAACCCAAGTCCTGTATAGAAACTTCTTTCTCATATGTAAAGCCTGGGAGCTTTTAGGAAATTCAAAATTATTTATTACTTTCATTATTTCTCTATTAAAGTAAATAACCAAAACAATAACTTTACAAAGTAATATATTTATTGTGTAAACAACTACAAATTATTTATGTATGTGTATATATCAGACATTTCAGGGTCAGCATAAAGCTACTGTCTTATAGAGCATTGGTTACAGCCACTCCTAGTCTCCGGAGACCCTTCCCATCTGTTGTTACTGTCACCTTTTAATACAATTTGCTGAATCCTGGCTCTATAACAAGAGCTCTGGTGAGCCCTGGGGCAACTAAGAAAAATAAGAAAGCGCTCTTGCCCTCAAGGAACTTACAGTTTGGCAGATCAAGGGCACTGAAGGGTATTCTGATGACCTAAAAACGTAATTCAAATAAAGCCTCATTTTATTCTTAAAGATGTATCCCTTCCGAACCATCATAGTTCATCTGGATCCTGGCTGCCATTCAGAAGCCAAGTCCAAAATTCTAAGTTACTTTCTTACTTTTAAACCTAAGCTGTAAAAGTCTGTGATTCTTTTGGAAATTTAAAAAATGACATTCATTACTAGTGCTACCTAAAAGTGGGTCTATACATAAGATATTTAGGTTCATGTGTGTTGTGCCCAGTCTGTGAAAGTAGCTGTCCAGACAGTGCAGAGGCACCACAGCCACACAGCATTGTGCCCTTGCTGTAGCATCACTTCCAGATTACCTGCGCGTCCTGACAAGCACTAAATTGAACACTTCTCTTAAGTCACACTGCTTTTTAACACTAAAGAATTCTCCTCGTTTATGAGTATGTAATTGAAATGAAAATGAGTCTAAAGAAGCAATAAACTACCCTCGAATGGGTTATTTTTAGCTTGGCTTTGTGTTTCTCAGCTGTGTATAATTGAACCTCTGTGCGCCTTCACCCTCCTCTCAGTCAACAGGGAGGATATCAAATTATTTCAAAAATCCTTTCTCACACTGAATTTCTGTCAGAGGAAGCAATGAAAATGTAGCTAAATAAAACCGATAAAATCATTTTGCACTGAAGAGAACTTTACTTGTAGGTTTAAAAACCTAGATTAAAAGAAAATCTTAGCAGAGTTATATTTTATCTTAGGAAAGATAAATAGAAATTATAAGGAAACATTCTAGCCCCTAAGTTTTTAGAATACAAGAAATAAACTACTTAACAATTTGACTATGCACTAACTTAGGTACCCTGGTGAGAGAGTTATTTAACTTACATAAGGCAAATTTTGCATAAGTATAAATCCAATCATTCAAGAATAGGACTCCTTTTTTTGTACCAAAAAAATAAGTAGCGGGTGGTTTTTTTTCAGGTTTTTCATGATGCATAGTCTTTGTAAGAATCCATTCTCCTCATCTTGTTGTATTTCCTAAACAGTGCTAGTGGTCAGTTACGTGGGAGCCATAAACAAGAGGTGCCTGTAGGAAATGTTCCTTGAGTGGGAAGAGGCAGTTTCCATATTTCACATTTCCCACAGTGTTATGACCTTAGTTTTCTTACGTAATAACTACTTTCTGAAATCGTACATGTTCATTGTACTACATTAAAGTTTAAAATCCAAATATATACAAACAGTAAAAATTATCCCCAACTCCCAGCCCAAAGATAGCCTCTGTTAATGATCTAGTCTGTACCCCTCCATCCTTCATACTTGATAACTGAGGTCAGTGTGTATTTAATTCAACTAGGACCTCTTTACTTATGAATTCTATGTTTGTGTCCATTTTTCTATTAGTATTTTTGTATTTTACAAACTCTTCACTGTAGAAAAACTTCTTGCATTGCAAGGAAAGTTACTTTTAGTGAGTTTAAAATTTACCTTTCAA